CCATTTAGAAATCAAAGAGGTTAACAACTTTTAGTTATAAGACAATTTCTTTTTGCCTAGCATATATATTTTATATAGCTAAGACCACCTTTTCTTGTTTTTTGAAAATGTAAGTGTAAATATTGGCTCCAAAATAATATATATATCTTCTCCAACATTTTATCGTAAAAAATTTCAAACATACAACAAAGATGAAAGAATATATATCCACCACCTGGATTCTACAATTATCATTTTTTGATATGGTTTTTATCACATACCTATCCATCCACCCATCCCTCTATCATTCGTCAATCTTTTTTTTTTTTTTTTTACATTACAAAGGAACAATCAGACAGCAGTATACTTTCCTATAAATACTTCAGCGTAAATATAATATTTTCATTTCTAGGCAATAAAGCTCCCTCTTCAAACACTTTGCTGACTATTTTATAAGCATTTAGAAAGCATGATTCTCAGTGCTACAATCGCATAAAACCACGTGAATCATAAAATAATAGTTCTATAGTTAAGAGGGGAGAAAAAACAAATTAAAATGAATTAATCATTGGTCCTTTATATTTCTATGTTAGTAAAATAAGCTTCAAATGTAGCACATTCATTGGTAATGTCTCTACTTTTATTTCATCAATATTATAGTTTCTGTATGTTCATAATAAGAAGCTCTTGTTAATTCTTCCCTACTCGGAAGTTCTGGAGGACTACTCAAATTCATGGATGCAGACAGGTGAAAAATCATCTTCTAAACTTAGTTGAAGCAAAGCTGCATCTGCCTTCCATTGGTGTCTTCTAGCTTAATGATTTTATGAATCAGACTGCTTTAAATATATATTATAATAAATATTTAGCTACCATATAGAGACTATGCTTCTACTACTTTCTATCTTTAATGTAAGGAGCTATTATTCACCTTTCTTGGGAGCATTTCTTTATGAAAACTGATCACTTTGAACATGTATAGAGAGGAATGAACAGGAGAAGTAGGTTTAAAAGTTTAGAATATGTTTGGATTTGGAGGAAGGCTTTCAGGGTAATTTTTTATACATGCTAAAAACAAAAAGGGTGAAGAAATGTAAAAAGATGCTGTGGAATTCATCTACTGTCAAGACAAAACCAAAATTATGTACAAAAACATTTTTTTTAATCATCCACACAATACACTTGTCTCTTATCACAAATTCATATTATGACCTCACCCTTTATATTCCGGAAGGAGTTAAACTCACTGTCATATTTCATTCTTCTTTATCAAAAGTATCCAACGTGACAAGGAAAGGTCATGGAGGCCCCATGGACA